GGGTGGCTAAGGTAGGCAAATTGCTCGAACCTGGGAGGCGGAGGTTGCGGTGAGCAGAGATCATGCCATTGCACTCCAGCCTGGGCGAAACTCAATCTCAAAAAAACAAAACAAAACAAACAAACAAATAAAACCTTGCAGGTAAATTACAATCCTAAAATTCACTGTAAAGCAAAACAAGAAACTTGAAGTTAGCATCCTGGTTTACCTGGAGGAAAATCAGAAGCATGAGAACTTGGTGGTGCAAACATCCGTGGCTCCTGCAGACCCCTTCATTCAGGAAAAGAAGCCCAGCAATTACGACTTTTTCGCTCTCTCCTCCCATGAGACCATGAGCGTTTCTTTCACCTTCTACACCTTTCTCAGTCGTAAGACCCCCGCAGAGATGAGAGGACAGCACGCTCCTGGCATGTTAGGCGTTCAGGAAACACCAGCAGCAACACCAGGTCCTGACCGTGAGGAGGCCTCCGGGTGCCGGGTGGTGGTCGAGGATGACGGTTTTGGAGTCAGATGGAGGGCGCTGGCCTTGTGCAAGTCAGGTCCCTGACCTGAGTCTTGGCACCTTCATCAGGAAAAGCGTCCATTTTTTGGCAGGGTCGTCATAAAATATAAAGTATACTGTGCTAGCAGTGTCTAGCATATAGAAGGCAATAAATGGTGGCTATATTGATATACGTACACCGTGACACTGAGTACCTTAAAGTTGCTTGCTGAAACAAGCATTTTCTTGTTTCGTAGAAAATTCTACTTTAATATAAAATATTAGAGCATTGAAGAGTTTGGATGTGTAACTTGTGATGCCTTAGAAAAATATCCTAAGGGGCTAGGTGCTCACGCCTGTAATCTCAGCACTTTGGGAGACTGAGGTGGGTGGATCACCTGAGGTCGGGAGTTCGAGACCAGCCTGACCAACATGGAGAAATCCCGTCTCTACTAAAAATACAAAATTAGTTGGGCGTGGCGTGGTGGCGCATGCCTGTAATCCCAGCTACTCGGGAGGCTGAGGCAGGAAAATCTCTTGAACCCAGGAGGCGGAGGCTGCAGTGAGCCAAGATTGCACCATTACACTCCAGCCTGGGCAACAAGAGCAAAACTCCATCTCAAAAAAAAAAAAAAAAAAAGAAAAAGAAAAAGAAAAAAAAATCCGAAGCACAACATAAACTTTTCTAACCACTTCAAAAAAAAAAAGAAAATTTC